TGTATGTTACCACCGAATACGAGAACTGAAGCAGTTTTTCTGAAACCACGTGCGCCATTCAAACTGGCTGCCTTCAACGTTCGCACATTTATGCAGGTCGGACAACAGATAGGCTGGCTATGTCTTTGGAAAGTCTTAATATTGATGTTTATTGTCTATCCGAGACCCGTATTCAAGACTCTGGCGAAGTACTACAAATTCGATCTCCATCTGTTGCTTCGAAAAGCTTCTTTTACGTGCGCTTATCCGGGGACCCTGTGGCATCTTCGTCTAGTCGTGCTGGCGATGGTGTCGCACTAAGCGCTAGAGCTGAGGCAGCACTAGTCGATTAGATCCCCATTAACAGTCGGTTATGTGCTGTTAGATTGGAAAGTCCCATCAAAGTGAGAAGAAATCGGCGTGAGAAACGATGTCTTTTCGTCATCTCCGCCTATGCCCCGACAGATTGCAGCCCGGATGCAATCAATGATGAGTTTTACCACCAGTTATCTGTTCTTCTCCAGAAAGTGCGTTCGACAGATATTGTAGTACTAGCCGGAGACTTGAATGCTCAGGTCGGGCGTCTAGGCACAGAAGAGAGTCGTTTAGGTGGCCGATGGGGACTTGTTGGTCGCAGGTCAGATAACGGGGACCGTCTACTGCAACTGTGCACAGACCACAACCTGTTTCTGGCTAGCATTAATTTTCGGCACAGTCATCGCCGATGTGCCACCTGGCGTCCTCCCTCTGCATCTCAAGCCTGGACTCAGATTGATCACATCGCGATCAGCTACCGCTGGCGTGGTTGTGTAAAAGACTGCCTCTCCTTTTGGAGTACCTATCTGGACTCTGACCATGCCTTGGTCTACGCCAATCTTGCCTTACTTTTCAGTGGCCAACGAAGTGACCATCACCAAAAGATTGCTATTAGCAAGCTGGTTGCAACTTCTGTTGCAAATAAGTATCGAACCGAGCTAGCCTCTAGGCTAGCTACCACTCCACCGAAAAGTATAGATGAGCATTGGTTGCAATTGCATGACAGTCAGTTGTGGGTTTGCGAAACGTCCCGCTTTTAAGCACTGGGTTTCTTCTGGTTCCTTATAACTCATTGAAGCCCGTCGGTCTACTCCGGGTGACCGTGAGTTTGACCATAAACGAAGGATGTTACGTAAGGAAATTGGGCAAAGCTTGCGTAAGAACCGAGAAGCCTGGTGGTCGGAGCGTGCTAATGAGCTGGAAGCAGCAGCTGCATCTGGTAATTACCGGAAGCTCTTCCAACTCATCCGAGCCACTGGCAGCAAGAAGTCTGGTGTGAGTGAAACAATCTGCGAGGATGATTGGATGCCAATCACTAACATCCATCGACGTCTCGGACGATGGGCAGAATTTTTCGAAGGGCAGTTCAACTGGCCTGCTGCTCCGGCAACATCGGTCAGACTGTCCTGCCCTCCATGGCCGGTGACGACTGATCCACCAAACGAGGAGGAAGTCCGCAAGGAACTCCAACTCTTGAAGCGTTACAAATCACCGGGCCCAGATGACTTACCTCCGGCTCTTTTTAAAGATGGTGATGACTCTCTGACTAAGGAATTGACGACGTTGTTTACAAGGGTTTGGGAACTAGAGAGTGCACCAACGTCATGGAATGAGTCGATAGTTGTCCCTATCTTTAAAAAGGGTTCACGTCGTTCCTGTAACAACTATCGGTGGATAAGTCTACTTCCGATTGCGTCCAAGCTATTGGCTTCCGTCATACTTCGTAGGTTGTTCAAAACCCGAGAAAGATTGACTCGCGAGGAGCAGGCTGGGTTTCGTTCTGGTCGAGGATGTATTGATCATATCTTCACCCTCCGCCAAATGTTAGAACACCGCTATACTTATCAAAGGCCAACAATCGTAGTGTTTCTTGACATCAGGGCTGCCTTCGATTCGTTGGATAGGACTGTTCTCTGGGATTGTCTATTGAAGAAGGGTGTGCCTGAGAAGTTTATTAACATCCTAAAAGCCCTGTATAAAAACACCTCAGGCAGAGTGAGGGCATACAACCACCTTTCTCCATTGTTCCATTCGAGCAGTGGGGTTAGGCAGGGTTGCCCAATCTCACCATTCCTCTTCAACTTTGCCATCGATGACATTCTGGAAACAGCTCTGATGAATGTAAGTAATGGTGGTGTGGATCTGTTGCCTGGAGAAAGACTTCTCGACCTTGAGTATGCGGACGATATTGTCTTACTGTGCGATAATGCCCAAGGCATGCAATCCGCACTTAATCAGTTGGCAATCAGTGTCCGTAGGTATGGTATGTGCTTCGCACCTTCGAAGTGCAAAGTACTTCTACAGGACTGGCAGGATTCTAATCCTGTACTCACCCTGGATGGTGAGCAGATAGACGTAGTCGAGAAGTTCGTGTATCTGGGTAGCATCATAAGTGCTGGTGGGGGTGTGAGTGATGAAATCAATTCACGTATAGTGAAAGCCAGAGCGGCTTATGCCAATCTGGGCCACCTTTGGCGCCTTCGTGATGTTAGTCTGGCTGTAAAAGGTTGGATCTACGACGCGTCGGTGAGGGCAGTTTTTCTCTATGCTTGTGAAACCTGGTCTCTCCGAGTTGAGGATGTTAGACGACTCTGTGTGTTCGATCATCGTTGTCTCCGAAGGATTGCTGACATTTAGTGGCAACACCATGTCAGTAATGTAGAGATCCGGCATCGTGTGTTCGGGCACAGAGATGATAATTCAATTGGTGTCACCATCTTGAAACACCGACTTCGGTGGCTTGGACATGTTCTCCGAATGTCGTCCCAGAGAATTCCACGTCGTGCATTATTTGCCGACTCTGGGACTGGTTGGAAGAAGCGGAGAGGTGGTCAGTGTATGATATGGTGTCGTGGCATGAAAGAAAGCTGCAAAGGACTGGCTTGTGTTGGTCCTTCACGACTCCCTGGTTGGGGTCCGAGAGATGGTGCTACACAGTGGCTAGAGACGTTATCAGATATGGCTCAGAATAGAAGCCAGTGGCGATCCTGCTGTAACCTTCTTTTACTTTCTTCATAAAAAGTGGTTGTGTCTCCCTTACCTGAAAGATTTCTTCTGATTGTACCTTTCCGTTCCCTCATTTCTACCATACTACCTTACACCAATCTCCTCGTTATTGTTCTCTTTTTCTTTTTACGCTCCTTAGTTTTTTTTCTATTTCTCTTCGAATTCTCATTATTTTGTGTGGCCCATATATATTTGCGCTCTCTTGTACCAATATTCATGTGTTCAAATAAATAATAATAAATAATCTTGTTAAGCTCAACATCAATATGTGCTACTAGGCTGTAAAGATTCATTTTCATTAAGAGGTAACTGGAGAGAAAAATCATGTCACTCCGTTATATTTACAAACACTTCAAGTGACTAAAACTTGACTAAAGATAAATTGTCTACAATCGGTGAGGTAACTTCTAGACCAAGTGTATTCGACGGATCTTGTGTTGTGATATTAATTGCAGGTTCGAAAATCTAGGTTGAATGTTGTAACACCTGAAGTTTTATTAGGCAGTAACCATGTGCTAAATACAACAGGCTTTAGAACACCTTTTCCACAGTTGAATCATTATACTTATGTAAAACCATATAAACCCATGATAATGTGGATAAGTACTATTGAATTCAAATGGTGACGTTGGGTTCAATGGTATATACTGAATCTTATTGCTCATGAGAAAAAGGCGAAATATTTTTTGAGTTCGTCCTCATTTTCATTATCATAAAATTTAAGTAATTTAGTATGCAGATTAGTTGCTTTGTTACTGTTAACATTTTTAAGGTTGAGCCTAGTTTTTAAAACAAATTCAACTAATCTTTTAAGAGGATTAAATTCCCAGCAATATTATATATTCAAATAGTTAAAATAAGGATTATACATTGTCGGAACTTGACTATTTTAATTGTTCTTGTTGGTGGGGAAATCTCAGGATAGAAAAATCGATATTTAACACTGAAAATTCATTTCATTGAAGTATGAGCAATTCAAACAAACGTACAAGCAAGAGCGAAATCGTTTTCATTTAGATCATTATCTTGCCCCACTTTATTCTATAATTATGCTTAAACATATAATAGGACGAAACAGCTAGTTGGTTTTCAATAGCTGTCAAACCAAAGTCTGTCCATGAATTGCAATCAAACAACTATGTACGACATTCAAATATTACTTAGAATTACTTTTGACGACAACGTAGTTTTGGGGAACAAACGATGTCAATCAAATATAATACGAAACAATGTATTTTTGTAGAAAAAACCAACAACTTAGTTTTCGTTGTCCATAAAATTTTTATTATCTGGTTGTTGTTTTCTATGCATATTGATCATAAGAAAATGAGATAATAATCATGAAAAGAAAGACAAAAATATCAGGCAAACTGATCTCAATCATGCATATATATGATATAACAATTATAGTAGCAGTATTAAAAAATATATAGGAAACTGACAATGTATTAAAAAGAAAACAGCACAAATAAATTCAAAACGAATATGAATAACTAGAAATAAGTCATAAGTAGATAGAAAATTATATAACATCTAAAGATGTATAAACTCAATTCAGTAACATAGAGCACATCGGAAAATAGTCACAGTTCAAGAGTATAAACAAATTGAGAAAAAAAAAGATCAAATAAACAGATCTTATTGATTATTTCAATGGTTAAGATCATGAGTCAGTTGAAGCTAGACCATCATGGAAAACCTGGAAGCACTGGACGAAACGGCCATCCAGTGCATTCAGGTTTTCCATGGTGGTCTACCTTCAACTGACTCATGATCTTAACCATTGAGATTACAACAATCTCCACAAAAAAAAACCATCTGATTATTTGTTTACTTACAACAAGGTAATTTAAACAAATAGATAAAGAGAAGTATCTTCTTTTTTTTCAAGTAATAATTCACTAAGTAGATAAATGAAGAAGATGTAAAACAAACATCTCTATGTGTATATACATATACAATTAATCAGTTAGATAAGTTTAAAATAGAATAAATGATGAATAGATCATTCTTAATTGTTTCCATTGAGATTTTTCATTTTCATCATCATTATTATTAAACATGAATAATTCACGACGTATATGATTCAATTGAATAAGTGAATAGATTTGTTTACGTTCTAATTTTATAGTTAATTTTGGACTTTTAAACAAATCAATCTCTGGTAAATAGACGTGTTGTAGTAATTCGTATAGATCATTATCTTTATAAATAACTGATTGATCCATAGACGGAGTTGTAATGTTGGAAGATGAAATCATAGAAGGACTAATGGTATTGTTATTATTATTATTGTTACTATTAATATATTCAGAGTATAATATACATTTCATAATATTTGTTTGAGTATAATCTTTAAATAAATGTTTTAATCTTTCATAGACAATATTATTAGTAAGGTAATCAAATGAGATTATTTGATCATTACCACTATTATCATATTGTTCAGTACAAGTATCATTAATATTTCCAATACTATCACCTTTAAATCTAATTCCATATAATAATTGTTCTAAAGTAACAGATTCTAGATTCAATTGTTTTTCATTTGTGGTTAGATTCATTTCATGCATAAAAACTTGTGGTACAACGTTTGCGACTATTATTGACTCACTTTCACTGTCTTCAACATTTGGAAACCGATTTAATTCCAATGAAATTTTAGATTTCTACAAAAACCAGTTGAAATATAACACATCAGCTTTATATTTGATTACAGTGTTTCACATTACTTATACGTACATTGAAATAAATAAAAATATAACCGATGCAACAATCACCTATTAATTACCAAATAACATTCAGTAATTATTCTAAACTCATTTGCTAGTTTCGACCGAAATACTTTAATAGCTTATCCACTTGCCAAGTTTAATAGGCAGACATTTTATCCTACTGAACTAATGGAGTATGGTAACTTGGACCGATGTACACACGTACCAAGTTCTAGGTCGCATCTCACTGACTGACATTGTGGTAACAAAAAGTAGCAGATTATTTTTGACACGTTCTTGAATCATATTTTGACCAGAAAAGCTAATTCCAAGCTCACTCCAACAGGTCTGTAACAGTGAATAATTCTTTAAAATAAATTGTTTAGTAAGGACCCGATATTGGACACTACTAGCTGAAGATGGTAGTTGGAGGTAGTCAACAGGAAACCCTGGACCCGGGTTTCGTGCTACTTGGCACTCGTCAGCAAGGTGTGCCTGTAATCTTGAGGGAACTGGTGCTCCCTGGCGGATTCGATCTCGTGTCACCCAGCTTCACAGTCAGAGACGTTACCACTGAGCTATCCTAGCCGTGACTAACCTCCTGTAGGACTGAGATGTAATCACAATTGATTGATCACTGGGTGGTGATGAGTAATTTGCAAATAATTGATTGCTGAATAGTGATCAATTTCATGTTTGTTTAGTCCTTTCATTGTTGATCAATTCGCAATGTAGCTACTAATCTAAGTAATTCGACATCAAGTGGATTACGTTGAGATGTTAGGTGATTCAAAGTAGTTAACAGGAAACTGTGGATCTAGGTTTCGTACTGATTGGCATTCGTGTGCAATGTGTGCCTTAATCTTCAAAAAACTAATGTTTAGTCTAAATAGTCGTGATAATTATTTGTTAATAGCGAAAAGGAATAATGTTGAATGTATGATTAAACTCACATTCATAGCTCTATATGATTCTCGCATTAACTTTTTTCGTGGTTTGTACAACATTTTTGATTGTTGCTCTTGACGAAAATGACTGCCTGATAAATCATTGAAAGATGAAGATGTTGATGATAATGATAGTAATACTGGAATTTTCTTACATAAATCAGGTTCTGATTGTGAATATTGTTTGTAGTGTGCTCCTGATTCTGTGAGCGATTTAAATAGCTGTGATGCCATAATTTGTTTTCGCGTAAATGACTCATTTATGTTATGATGAATTGATCGTCTAAACCTAGGAAATTTCGACTCTTGATAAAACATTGAAAGTCTGTTCTTTGATTGATTATCTTCGGATGCTGGATCGTCGTCAGTTAATTCAATATCGGTCTCATCATCAATACAATCACTATTATCAGTGTCTTCAGTTTCTTCATCTATTTCATCATCATCATCTTCGTCTTCATGATCATCATCTTTATTGTATATATCATTTTTGTTATGTTTTAACTTGAACTTTGGTGAACAGAGTCCTCTACAATCTAGTAGTAAAAAAAGAAAAAAAACTCTTCATGAATATAAGATGATGAGAAATAATCTTCAAACTAAGTCAAACTAGAGAGCACTGAACAGTTGTTTTGACCTGGATTTGTAACATTTCAGCAATCTGTAACTATGGTAGAGAGAGAATTACTTATAAACCATAATGTCGGAATTCTATGGTCAACAAAATTTTAACTTCAGTCAAATCACGATGTAACACAATGATTATCTAGTTATCTCTTACTTGGAACGTGATTTAACTGAATCCAGTCATGATTGTTCACTAAAACTTCAGTAATTCAAACTAGTTTAATCCAGTCAAATTTGCTTTAAAGTACAAAATGACAAAAATGGTAAACAGCTGTTCGACTATATCTATTGAAGTGATCAATATATATCCTATAATTATCAAGACTGACACTGCTGAATAACCATATGTAACTCGTAACAACTGGTGATAAGACTGGAAGAAAATATATAGATCTTGATCAAATTTGAGCTGTTTACTTAGAGCAACAATTGGCATTATTGTAACAAAAATAAAGATTACATTAAGTACATACTCATGTTTTTCTCTTTAATTCTTGTATGATAGCTGACATATAATTCCAGTGATATTAAAATTTATTTTAATGATCAATTGTTCTATCTTTATATATTGAATTTATTCCAGAGACTGGTTTCACTGATTGGTGATAGTGTTACTTACCAGCTACTTAATAAATTTTATGTAATCTAATTTAAACAAACTAAATCGTGACTATAATTTCAGTAAATTTTAATATAGTTCAATAATGTTTATTAAGTTGTTGTATAGTTGAAGTAATAATATACAAAGATTATCCATTTTGTTTAAGTATAATCATTATTTTCTTTACCTATAGTCTCTGAAATCGATTCATCTCTGACTTGTTTTGTATTGTTAACATTTTCCGGAACTATTGGTACTTCATTTCCACCTTGCTCATATGTTGATCTCATATTTCGACCAAAATTAAATGGTAACTTGGGAAGCTATAAAATATATAATAAGGTGATAGATAGATAGATAGATATATTAAATAAACAAGTTGCTTTCAAAATAGCGAATTCTCTTCAGCTGCTTACAACCGTGAAACAAAAGTAATCATCAATAACAATTTAAACAGGTATATATATATATATTATATTAAAGATAGTAATTGTGAAATAATTAAAAAAACTACTCGAATGGTTATTTATTCATAGGTTCACGCTAAAATCTGAAAATCTTTCAAGATAATCAATGAAATGAAAAAAGTACTGTGGTGTGTGCCACTGGTGTTGATAGATATAAGTAGTATGTGTAACCAATCGAAAGTGGGATGCCTGGTGGTAGAAGGTTGAGGAAATCGAAAAGAGAACGAGAACAGAGAGTGTGTGGTATGGAAACGAAGTCTAAGACAATTGATGGATATTTTGCTAATGAAAAATTTACTGTATGGCTCTCATATTTTACCAAGACATTCTGTAATGTTGTATTGTAGTACATTTGGTTGTCCCCACCAGTGTTCTCGTTCACTACAACACATCAGATTTATTCCACTTTTCTGAATCTATCTCCCTATGAAAATATTGATAGAAAATTTAAGTACCAAGAAAAACAGTTATCAATCTTCTTTTCTCCTATTGATTTTAGTTTCAAAGGTTTATTGCGTGACAGTTTTTGTTTCTATGTTCTTAATTTATGCTACTAAGTTGAGTAATAACCTAGTCAACTTTTTAAGTGATTACACAAACTATGACGTAATCATCTCATTTTTTAACAGTTCCGTTCCCATGTCATTTCCAGTTTCATTTTCTAGGATATTAGTATATTTGACTGACTAATAAACAGTCATTTAAATACCTTTTTTAATCCTTTCACAACTACTGTCTTTTATGAATTTATATGTGTATATCAAACTTAATTTTTAATCAAGAATTTTCTTATGTAAAATAACTGCGCTTATTTTGTTTTTGATAATGACTCCAATGATTTCTGGTCTGTAAGCAACTAAAGAGAAACCAAGATAATAAATGAATTCAAATTATTCTGTTACAGTTGTTGATCTTGTTTTATTCAGAATTTATGAATCAGAGAAATGGACATGAAAAATGAAGAGTTCCAATCAAGTAACACTTCGAGTGGATATGGGCAGCCACCTAAAAACGAGTATCCATTAAACGCTATGAGGATAATAAAGTAAGGTTTATTAGTGTATATATTCCATATTATGCAAGATTCATATATAGAATGTATGAATACACAATATAACAATATATATATATGTATCTTATGCTATAGCAAATTGTAAACACGATTCGCAAAAAGATTTAGTAGTATTTCAATAGTACTGTAATGAACGAACACTCATTTGGGAACGACCAATGTATTTTTAATACAAAATTAGAGTATCTTGGTAAAATATGAGAACCATACGTCTGTTGACATAAGTAGCATACACTACAGTATTAATCTCAAAGTTTTTCTTTAAATTTATGAAACAAATGGAATAGTAACGTCTCAGTTAAATGTAAAACTATGCATGAGGAAAACCCTAATAAATTAATTTCCTTATATTTCATTCATTTTTATACTAACATAATCGTGTTATTTTTGATCGATTACTATTCTCATTTGCATTTAATATTCCACTACGAAGATAACCTTTCACTCCATCCGAATTCCTTCAAGGGTTATTACCGATACCAAGATTGGGTAAAGGAGATGGCTTGAGCATTGGGGTTAGAAACCTCCAGCCTGTAAAATGAAACCTTGATAAAAAGGCGTTAATTTAGACGAACTATTAGTCTTCCAAATTTAATTTAATTTTTTGTTGATCTGATGACTCCGTTTATTTAGTTATTTCATCCACTAATACTAATGATAACCAAAGAATTTCACTCATTATAAACTTGTATACTCATAAATTAACCTGTCAACATATCAGTTATTTCATATGAATATACGATTACACGAATTTAAAAAAAAAATAAAATGATTGTGAAAATCTATTTTCACTGAATGATTTAGTTGGGAAAATGAAATTTACCTTAATTTGTTTTAATCTTTGTTTAATTAAGTTTCCATTAAGTTTTGAAAATGATATTTGGTTTTTATCATTTGTATTGATATTTGAATTGACTACTGTTATGCCATGAGTATCTGGTACTGAATTATGAATTGAACTTGTTCTAGACATTCGATGTCTACCACGTAGACTAGTTTGAGATTCTCGTCGTCTACCCATTGCACGTAAACCAGATCCAAGTGTCTGTAAATCAACTGGAGGTTGATATGCTTTGGGTAAATTAGCCTGACGTAAACGTTGCAATTTGATTGGCGGTTTCGTTTCAATCAACTCTAAATTATTACCTAATTACAAAGAAAATGAAAGGGAAATAGGAGAAGTCAGAGAGGTATGGAGCAAAAAAATCAAACATTTTATTCACTTTAAGGAGGGCAGTTTAATTTGTAAACAGTATTCGATAGGAATCAACCTCATTTAGGATATCATTGGAAATCTAGAGCAATGGGCAGCTATCTTGACATGGCATAAGACTCCTTTTTAGTGGGTGCCCAAGAAACAGACCATTTGTGGTGAGAAAGGATAGAGTTTAGTTTGTATGTACGATAATAGTGTAAAATGTGAATAATATCAGACATGGTAGCTTAGATAGATAGTTCCTTTGTACTATTTAAACTTGGGTTAGTTTTAATTTAGTTATTTATTCTCTGAAGAAGTGGCTTACACTGAGTCACGAAACGTCAGAAAATCTAATTTTTCTACTCATTGGGATATTACAAATATATTATTTTTATTTATAATGCTCAATTCATTTGAAATTATCATGTCAAACCTTGGTGATGATACCTACAATGATTTGAGTAGAATAAAATGAATCCATTTTATTTCATTAGGTTCTTGTCGACTACTAATAGCCTATAATAAGTTAACATCAAACTTCTACATAGAAGTAAATGTGCTTATACAATGTAATAATTATTTTGCTCAAATATTTGTGATACTATCTCCGTCTAGAGCCCTTCTAAGGTTACTGCCAGTCCAAAGGCCAGATAAAAAAGTGGAGGTTTGGGGATAGAGTTCGTAATACCGTCCTGTGTTTTAAGCGTAGAAAAAGCAATAGCGAACAGAATTCTGTACATAAACGTAAACATAAAAGAGTTAATTATTTGGAACCTTAAATTCTCATAGCTTTCACCCACCATTGAGATCATAATCATAATAATAATTAACTGTCTCGGCCACATCAAACAAGTTTATTCTTTAAAAAATATTTCGGTACAATAAAACATTGAATAGAAGAAATAAAGTGATAATATTCAAGAGAAATAGAGAGTAATTTAAAAAATACAGACAAAAGAATTTCTTGACCCTTAAAAATATTATTTTACTTTGTTACTAAAATATTTCTATTCTGGTCATTGCTATTATTATTATTATTATTATTATTATTATTATTATTATTATTGTTATTATTATTATTATTATTATTATTATTATTATTATTATTATTATTATTATTATTAATGGCTTGGTAATGATACCTACAATGATTTGAGTAGAATAAAATGAATCCATTTTATTTCATTAGGTTCTTGTCGACTACTAATAGCCTATAATAAGTTAACATCAAACTTCTACATAGAAGTAAATGTGCTTATACAATGTAATAATTATTTTGCTCAAATATTTGTGATACTATCTCCGTCTAGAACTCCGCCTGGGGTCCCTCCAGGGGCTACTGCCGGTCCCAAGCCCGGATAAAGGAGGAGGGTTGGGCATGGGGTTAGCGTCCCCATCCCGTAGAAAACTAACTCGCTAAAAAACGCCAACCAGAAAAAATATTCAAACCTTTTAAACTCTGCCTTGGGAGTCAGAAGGTCTTCATTTAGAAGTTGATGAAAGCCGAATTCCTTCGGAAGTTACGAGGCCGATGCCCCTTCTGACAACCAGAGCGACCATTTATTTAGGTACATGGAATGTTCGTACAATGTGGGACACCTGGAGAGCCTTCCAAATTGCTGCAGAAATGAGAAGATACAACCTAGAGGTACTTGGGATCGGTGAAACACATTGGACACAAGTTGGACAACAACGACTAACTACAGAAGAGCTCCTGTTATCCTCCGGCCATGAAGAAGAAAATGCCCCACATACACAAGGAGTTGCATTGATGCTGTCCAAACAAGCGCAAAATGCGCTTATAGGATGGGAATCCCATGGACCAAAGATCATCAAAGCCTCCTTCAAAACAAAGAAAGAGGGCATTTCAATGAACATCATCCAATGCTATGTGCCTACCAACGACTACAATGAAGACGCTAAAGATCAATTCTACAATAGGCTGCAGTCAATCGTCGAGAAGTGCCCAACAAAGGACCTGACCATTCTGATGGGAGATTTCAACGCCAAGGTTGGAACGGACAACACTGGATATGAAGACATCATGGGACGACACGGACTGGGAGAAAGAAACGAAAATGGTGAGAGATTTGCAAACCTATGTGCCTTCAATAAACTGGTCATAGGCGGCACCATATTCCACATAAACGCATACACAAAACCACATGGACTTCACCGGATCACACCACGCAAAACCAAATCGACCATATTTGCATCAACAAAACGTTCAGGAGGACGATGGAAGATGTGAGAACCAAGAGAGGAACTGATATAGCATCAGATCATCACTTGCTGGTCGCCAAGATGAAATTGAAACTCAAGAAGCACTGGACATTGGGGCGGACAATATCACAAAAGTTCAATACGGCCTTTCTCCAGGATACTAACAAACTCAACAAATTCAAGATAGTCCTCAGCAACAAGTTCCAGGCCTTTCATGATCTACTCAATGGAGAAGGAACTACTGTGGAGAGCAACTGGAAGGGCATCAAAGAGGCAATCACTTCAACATGTCATGAGGTCCTGGGTCACAAGAAGTACCATCACAATGAATGATTCACTGTTGATACACTGGATAAGATTCAAGAAAGGAGGAACAAGAAGGCAGCAATCAATACCAGTCGAACAAGAGCAGAAAAAGCCAAGGCACAAGCTGAATACACAGATGTAAACAAACAAGTGAAGAGGAGCATCAGAACCGACAAACGTAAATATGTGGAAGATTTAGCAACAACGGCGGAAAAGGCTGCAAGAGAAGGAAACATGAGACAACTGTATGACACGACAAAGAAACTCTCTGGAAATCGCCGCAAACCAGAACGACCAGTAAAAAGCAAGGAAGGCGAGGATAATCACCAACATTGAAGAGCAACAAAACAGGTGGGTAGAACACTTCAAAGAACTCTTGAATCGACCAGCCCCACTGAACCCACCCAACATCGAAGCAGCACCCACGGACCTCCCAATCAATGTTGGCCCACCAGCAATTGAAGAGATCAGCATGGCCATCAGGCACAGCAGCAGGACCAGACAACATTCCAGCAGAGGCATTAAAAGCAGACGTAGCGGCGACTGCAAGGATACTCCACATTCTCTTCAATAAGATTTGGGATGAGGAACAAGTACTAAAAGACTGGAAAGAAGGACTTCTGATCAGAATACCGAAGAAAGGCGATCTCAGCAAGTGTGATAACTACAGGGGCATCACTCTTCTCTCAATACCGGGAAAAGTCTTCAACAGGGTATTGTTAAACAGGATGAAGGACTGCGTAGACGCACAACTTCGAAACCAACAGGCAGGATTCCGTAAGGATAGATCGTGTACAGACCAAATCGCAACACCACGGATCATTGTGGAACAATCAATTGAATGGAATTCATCACTCTACATCAACTTTATTGACTATGAGAAAGCATTTGATAGCGTGGACAGAACAACATTATGGAAACTTCTTCGACACTACGGCGTGCCTCAGAAGATAGTCAATATCATAGAGTTCATATGATGGATTACACTGCAAAATCGTGCATGGAGGACAGTTGACAAAGTCGTTCGAAGTGAAGACCGGTGTTAGGCAAGGTTGCTTACTCTCACCCTTTCTCTTTATCCTGGTGATCGACTGGATCATGAAGACGTCAACATCTGAAGGGAAGCACGGGATACAATGGACATCTAGGATGCAGTTGGACGATCTAGACTTCGCAGATGATCTGGCCCTTCTATCCCAAACGCAACAACAAATGCAGGAGAAGACGAACAGTGTGGCAGCAGCCTCAGCAGCAGTATGTCTCAATATACACAAAGGGAAAAGCAGGATTCTCCGATACAATACAGCATGCACCAATTCAACCACAATTGACGGAGATTTGGAAGATGTAAAAACCTTTACATATTTCGGCAGCATCATTGATGAACACGGTGGATCTGATGCAGATGTGAAGGCGCGGATCGGCAAAGCAAGAGCAGCATATTTACAACTGAGGAACATCTGGAACTCAAAGCAACTGTCAACCAACACCAAGGTCAGGATTTTCAATACAAATGTCAAGACAGTTCTGCTGTATGGGCAGAAACCTGGAGAACTACGAAAGCCATCATTCAGAAAATACAGGTGTTTATTAACAGTTCTCTACGCAAAATACTTCAGATCCGTTGGCCGGACACTATTAGCAACAACGTACTGTGGGAGAGAACAAACCAGATCCCATCGGAGGAAGAAATCAGGAAGAAGCGCTGGAAGTAGATAGGACACACATTGAGGAAAGCACCCAACTGCGTCACAAGCCAAGCCCTCACGTGGAATCCTGAGGGTCAAAGGAAAAGAGGAAGACCAAAGAACACATTACGCCGGGAAATGGAGACAGACATGAGAAAAATGAACAAGAATTGGATGGAACTAGAAAAGAAGGCCCAGGACAGAGTGGGTTGGAGAATGCTGGTCAGCGGCCTATGCTCCATTGGGAGTAACAGGCGTAAGTAAGTAAGTAAGTAAGTAAGTAAGTATCTCCGTCTAGAGCCCTTCTAAGGTTACTGCCAGTCCAAAGGCCAGATAAAAAAGTGGAGGTTTGGGGATAGAGTTCGTAATACCGTCCTGTGTTTTAAGCGTAGAAAAAGCAATAGCGAACAGAATTCTGTACATAAACGTAAACATAAAAGAGTTAATTATTTGGAACCTTAAATTCTCATAGCTTTCACCCACCATTGAGATCATAATCATAATAATAATTAACTGTCTCGGCCACATCAAACAAGTTTATTCTTTAAAAAATATTTCGGTACAATAAAACATTGAATAGAAGAAATGAAGTGATAATATTCAAGAGAAATAGAGAGTAATTTAAAAAATACAGACAAAAGAATTTCTTGACCCTTAAAAATATTATTTTACTTTGTTACTAAAATATTTCTATTCTGGTCATTGCTATTATTATTATTATTATTATTATT